TTGCACCTTCCTTCTGGAGTCGCCATGCTTTCTCTCTCATAAAACTTACTGTAAAGGTAACAGGGTTTTGAAAGACATTATTTCCTCTTCCACGGAGCTTAAACAGTACATGTTGTGTTATTTAAATTCTGTTGGGCTTGTTCCCTCATACAAGGTGTTACCTGCATAATTAGCAAAGAAACCCTGAAATGAATGTTTCTGCGCGTGTTAGAAATGAATACCTTCAAGTAGGAAAACTCCCAGTATTGCTGAGTAAGGATGACCTCATAAAGGAAAGGGGACAAGGAGAGGTGATTGGCTGGGCTGAGGATGCTGACTTAGAGGGACTTTACATACACCTTCTGTGTAAGCAAGAGCAACACTTCGGGCGATGACTCAATGAGTCACTTTCTCATTGTAAATAATGTCAACGACAATTAGTGAGCAATTTACCTTTGTTCCCCTTCTCCCTTGTCAATCCCATGCCTATGGAATAGGAATCAAGCTACTGAGTTTTTTTAAAATGTCAGGAGAGTTTATTCTAGTGGTGGCAGTTAAAAAGTATTTTAGCTGAAGTGGTCTTCCCTAGTTATGACATCTAACTGAAGACTGTATTAAAAACTGGCAATGAGTTCTGTGAATCCTCAAAGTTAATTTTTAAAAGACAGACAGACAGACAGACAGACAGACAGACAGAAGTAGCGTGATCTGTATGCTACTGTGTTTCACTTGGTGACAGTGGCAAGATAACCTAGATAACTAGAGCTGGTTTCATGTGAGGGTTTTATAGGAGAACTATCCATCGAGTGCTACCGCATCTAACCATAACAAGCCCACAAACACCAGACTCCATCCTCAGGCCAACGGGGAAAATGTTTTTTCCAGTAATGTTTCCATTTTTTTCTTGGGTCTTTACAGGGTTGTAATGATGGGAAGTGGGGGGATGCTTTGCGCCACCTTGAACTCCTTAGACCAGGGATTGACAGAAAGTTGGTTCTTCAGCTCTCATGCTCCCTCAGAAGGAGAAACCCAAGGGCCTCCCTTTCCAGCTGCCAGCAGTAGGTTGCTCAACTTGTGAGGTGGAGGAGATGTTGGGACTTCCTTTTCCTTGTCTTCGTTGTCACTGCAGAGAAGCTTTGGTTGCTAGAACTGCCACCTGCCCAGGTTCTAGAGGCACCACCACCCTTTGCTCCATGATGTTTGCAGCTGAGAAAAGGAGCTGACTCAGGGCTTTCCTCTTTCTCACCCATTACTCCTCCTAGCTGCTCTGCCTCTCCTGTTTCCTCCTAGTTGGTCTGGCTGGGCACAGCTTACTGGCAGTAAAACAGAGCTTGAGCAGGATGCAGAGGGGACACAGCTTTGCTGCAAACACAAGGACTTCCCGCAGGTAAAAAGCTGTGCTGCTGTTCTGTTCTTCTTTGAGGGAAAGCACACAGATGCTTCTGCTGTGTATGTAGCACTCCCTTCCTCCAAGGAGGGCCATAAGTTACGATCCAAGGTATAATTGTATCCCAGGATGTCAAATAAATTAATGGAATGAGAGAGTCCTCCTACCTTTTGAACAATGCAAGATTGTGAAAAGCTGAAAGGCAATTGTCAGGATGCTTCTTGGTTTTGCTGTTTTCTTAGCAGTTACTAAAGAGGATGAAATTCTGGACTGTTAGTTAAATTCTGCTGGGGATCCTAGAAATTCTGAAGGAGAAAGGGGCTCTTCTGACCAGGAACAGGGCAGGGGGAAAGTACATAAAAGATTATTGCTGAACACTGTTTGCTGTTGTTCGGTGTATGTTTACTGTATTTTTACTGCCAGGGCAGGGGGAAAGTACATATAAGATTATTTGTCATGGGTGCTAAACTAACTTTAGCAGTCTTGGTTACTGTGTATTTGTAGTGAAGCCCTATTTGTTGAGCTGCCTCAGGCAGCAATTATGACAGGGTATGGTTTTTTTTTTTTTTTTTTTTAAGGACTCATGCTTTTTTAAAAGGACTGATATGTTCCCTTAGGGTGATTACAGATGTAGGGGTTTTGGAGCTAAAAATCAGAAGACACTGTCTAGTTTTTTTTTTCTTCCCATACCCCTTTCAGGGATTTTCTACAGTAAGCAAATATGAAAAGAAAACGCAGAATGGTTATCAGCAGGCAGTGATGACCTCTGGACATTCCATTAAATTCTGTGAATTAAGCAAAGAAATGACATCATAAAAGCCTTGTCCAGAAGCACTCGGAGGTGCTCTTAGAATGGTCTTCCTTTCTCAAAACTTCCTAAAAAGACTGCCCCTGCTGAATGACAAAGCTGCAGCCACAGTATGGAACGCTGAATCCTCACTATTCTCTGGTCTGCATGCTGGGTGACTTTCATTAATTTAATTTATATAAGAGCCCCACACTAACAGGCAAATTTCCTTTGGTTTTCAGTTCTGGCCCTATGATGGTCTTTTCATTTTATCCATGTGACCAGGATAGCAGGATGCCTACAAAAATTGCTTATTGCGAAGCGTTCCACATGACTGCCTTCCTAGGGTTCCTTGCACTGCTAGGTTGAATTAGCTCGCCATGGATTTAGGAGTAGGTCAGGGTGGCAAGCAACCACACATCCACAGGTACCATAATACAGACTAAGTAAGGGACTGGCCATAAGTCAGCAGTAGGTCACTCCCTGGCATCTCCAGGCAGGGCAAGGAAAGACCCTGTCTGAAATCCTGAAATACCACTATACTCCATGTTTACTGGGCTAGATGGACTTAGGATAACACAGCTTTCTATGTTCCTATGTGACATTAGCCATGTGAAACCTTATATAATGTACTTTCCAATGTGCCCAGCATTGGCCTAGGTCTTTAGTTGAGCAGCACAGAAATGCACTGCCCTGAACCAGCTCCTATACCACAAAACAAACAAACAAAACACCCCCACACACAATTAAGGATGTTTTCAGAGGAGTTATTTATGGTGAAAAAGACAGAAAAGCTGCATGATGGTTTCTGATTACTAGTACTAAGGGCCCTCTATCTGGAAGCACCATACAAACCCTCTTATCCTACACCACAGAGGTACAATGATGAACAGGGTAATCCTATGTGTCTTTGTTCAGACATAATTCTGCCTCTATTCTTTATGTGAAATATGTGTAAGATTGTACTGTAAACTGCCCAATGCTTCTGTCATGTCCTTTGTGCCATGTGTGAATGCTCTTAATATGCCACAGATCAAGAAAGCAAAAATGTACATTCTCACTGATGTAAGCTGGTACTTGGTACTGTAGCACTTACTCCAGGATCTAGTTATCACTTTAGGCTGCAATTCTGTGCATACTTTTGTAATAATAGGACCCCCGTAATATAGTGAAACGTATTTCTGTATGAATGCTCAGAGAACTGCACTGTTGGAATACAAATCTATGCACGTTTTGTCCTACAACTTCCAGTATTTCTCAGTCAGTGTAGCTGAGTCAGGCCTTTCTTTCTAAATATGCAACTCCCTAATTTTATTTATGACAAAGCAGGGTGTTAAAATTTACTGGAAGAAGACAGAAATCAAACATGAGACCTGCCCAGTCAGAAAGATTCCTTGTCCGCTCCATTGCAGATCTCCCTCTCCCAACGTGGGTTTTCTTTTTATTGGAGTTGTTATTGAACACATCCCTATGTACTTCATGGCTTGGCACTGCATATGATAAGTTGTAAAAATGAAGGATTCAAGCTGACAACAGCTACACACTCATCTTAGTGACAATGGAAGAGGTGCTGGAAGAATCTACTGTAAAACGAATTCCAGATATATAGCTGTGCTAGTTTGTTGCAGTTGACAAGAAAAACCAGAGAGATTCCACCAGGGGCATACAATCACGAAGACATTTAGTTTATTCTGACATACAGGAAATACATAAAACATGTAGGTAGCCCTGGAAGGGACTACAAAGATGGGAGTCTTTACAAGATGCTTTTATCAATTACACATACAGTTTAGAGGAGGTTTGGGGTGGATTATGTAGGCAGTTTGCTATAGGCACATGAGAGTAAAGTAATAGGGTTGAATGGATTAAGACAGCACAATACAAAAAGAACCTTCAGGACAGGCAAACATTAGGATGTCTAAGAGGCTCCCCCAAAGGAAGACCTTTCAGGACAGGCATATTAGCATCTCTACAGTGTATGTGAGGAGCAAGACTTGCAACAGATCTGGAATCCCACCTTAAAGCTGCTCTTACAGTGTCAGTCTTTTAGCAGCCATATTGCGGCAGAACTTCTGCCCATGTTGTCCCGACACAACCAAATCCGCAAAGAGACTGGCAGCTTCTCAAAACCTGATCGTTACAGTAAGCTTCCATGACCTGGAACCATCAGAAGCTCCATTTGAGTTGCTGGGGATGTGCAAACAACGCCAACCGTGGGGCCAAAGGCCATGGAAGGGAGCTCACACAAGCGTAAAAGTTTTTGTTAATCTTTAAGGTGCCATAGGGCTTTTCGCTGATTTGGCACCGACTGGAACTTTCGGGCCACGTCGCGCAGCAGCTGCAGTGGCTGAGAAGGCTCCCTCTCTCCAGGTACAGACACGAGTATGTCGCTGCCGGCCAAGTGAAGACCTGAGCTGGGCTCCCGCCCCAGCACACGCGCTCGGCCTGGGGACGCCTCAAGGCCGCGGCTTGCGCTGGCCGGGGGCACGCGAGGGGCGCCGCGGACCCGCGCGCGCGTCTCCCGCCCCGGCGGCCTCCCCGTCCCGCTGGGCAGCTTGGCCCCTTCCCCCAGCCCGCCCCCCGCGCGCTCCCTTCCCGCCGCTCCGCTCCGCGCCCGGCCGCGCCGCACGACGCTTCGCCCGCCCCGAGCGCAGCCGCGGTGAGCAGCACTCGCGGCGGCGGCAGGGAACGGCGCGGGCAGAGCCGCTGCTGCAGCCGGAGCGTTGTCGGGGCGGGACCGGGGAAGACGCACCCGGAAGGGAAGCGCGCCTGGCTCCCAGCGCGGCAGGTGAGAATGGGAAGGGAAGACCCGAGCGGGAAGAGAGAGGCGGAGGAGGGCAGCTCCGCGGAGCGATGGAGGCAAAAGGAAGGTGGCAGCGCTGGGCTCTGGTGAGAGCAACGAGGGGCTGGAGCAGCCGAGCAGAAATGGGCAGTGGGGCCAGCCGGGGGGCGCAGAAAGGGGCTGCAGGACTTCGGCTGAGGTGGTCTCCTCAGCGCTTGTCCTGCTTGTTGTCCTGAGAGCGGGTCCTACTCAGTGTGAAGGAAGAGGGTGGGTATGAGCATGTGCAGAGTGCCGTGCCTTCAGGTAACCGCAGCTGTATCAGTAAGGATTTTTCCATGAAGGACTTGTGACAGGGCTTGGAGGTTGAGAGGACAGCGCCGCGAAGAAGGCTTAGCCGCTGAACTCGTTTTTGGATGGCAGGATTCACTGCTCAGTGATATGTGATGGGATGGTATAAGTATGGGATAGTATAAGTGAGTGTGTGTTCTCTTGAGTGAGTGCAGAGCGCCGTTTCCCCTGCCACAATAACTAAAGCAGGTTCTGTGTATGAGGAACTAAGGACTAGCACGTTCAGGTTCACAGAGCAAAAAGAGGAACTTGGGACTCGCACACGTAGGCTGCGTTAAACGCCAGGTGTTTTGGACCGAAGGGAGCAGACGGGTCAGGGAACAAGGAAACAATCGCCTTGAGAAAATGGGAGTGGAGTGATTAGACAAGAAACAGGATGAACAAATACTCTAGAAACTGAAACAGCAGAGTCGGGTGGCACCTTAAAAACTAACACACTTATTATGCCATAAGCTTTCATGGACTTCATGAATCATATACGTCATTTATCACATAGTCCATAAAGGTTTATGCTACAATAAATGTTCTTGCCTTTAAGATGCCACAGGACTCTTTGCTGCTTTTGCAGCAACAGGCTTAACATGGCTACCTCTCTGGAAATCGTTCCTAAAGGGTGAGTTGATGCTGGGTTTGCTCAATCATCATTTGAAAAATAAAGGCTGTTTGAATCAATGGTACACAAAATAAGGAATATATTCCATTTCTTTGCATCTTTCCACTGCTGCCAAATAGAATGTGGTTTGTTGGTGTACTTAACATGAATGACTATTTAAAAGCTTGTTATTGTTGCACAGTGGGTGTTTCTGGCAGTTAAATGGGGAGTAAGGTGGCTGGAATCCCAGTTTCTTTTAGTTTGGCAAACTAGCAGCAAAGGGAAATTATTTATTGGAATCATTTGTTGTTGTTTTTAATTAAACTTGGGTGCATATATGTTAGAAATGAATGTTAGTTCTTCTCATTTGAGAATCAAGATCATGTAGCACAGGAACAGAGACAGAAAGGGGTTGTTAGTGAACAGTCTGAAGCAAAGAGGCTGGGAATGGTGCAATGAAAAACAATTGCCACTCTAAGCATACAAGAGAATGTGAAAAGACAGAAATTGCATAAACTCTAAAAATTGCTACACTAGTGTTAATTCAGATGTGCTGTATATAGACAGTCTTTTATTTTAAAATTACTGGGTTTTGTTCAGCAGTTCCTGTATGTATGCCTTAATGTGAGCCTGGAATTAATGTGTAGTTTGTACCAAATTTTGGAGAAGTTTTAAGTTACTATGTGAACTTTCCCATCTGGGGCCCACTGCTTACATTACATGCAGAAAACACTGAGAGATGTTTTACACAGTAAAAACAATGTATCCACTATTTATTAATAAAGAGGAAGAAATTTGCACGTACGTTACTGTCGATGTTGGCATGGAGAATTTGGCACAGGAACACCTAAGTCAATATAAAATGATTGCATTACTCTGTGTGCACACTGCTGTTAATCAGTTGAATAAAAAAAATGTTAACCCAGTGATGTCCAGAACTTCCTTTGACCCTGAATTCCAATTCCTTTCTGCTATTTAATGATAGTGCTATAGTTTCTGAATTATGGCTTCAACTTTTTAAGGTGTAATCTGACACATGCTTAGAAGGCAAAAAAAAAAAAAACCCCTACAACTCTCAACATTCTCCAGCCATGTTTTCTGACTAAATATAAAGTGGACTACAAATATTTTCCAGCACAGTTACCTTGTAAATTTTAAAGTTATGTTTGAAGCAAATTTAAAAGGAGGACTTTTCTTACTCCAACCCTGGGAAAAAAAATGAAATTGGGGAAACTAGTGATTTTAGCAGAATGTATCTATACAGGAACAAAGGAGACCTGCCATGACATTAACACAATGGAAATTAATTTTTGTAGAAACTGCTTTGGAAAAATGGGACTTTTTGTTTAAATACCTCTTCCACCTTATTCCAAGGATGTGGTTTAGGTTGCAATATATCAATATTTTAGTCTCTTCACTATTTTGTGAAGTAGAATGGGTTGCGAATTAGAATAGCCTATGTAATAACAGCACTCTGTCTGGTAAACATTTTGCTTGAACTGAGAAGGGTTTGGACAGTGTCATTCATTTTTATAGTTAACCAGTAAAGCACCCATTGGTGGAATGTTTCAGTTTTGCTAGATGAATTCAGTTTTGGTAAAAGAAAAAGCACTAAAATATCTGTTCTCTGTAGAATCACTATTGAAAGGCTACTGTATGGTTAAGAGTTAAAACTTGTTTTTCTGTGATGAACTTAATGTAGAGAAAATATCTGGAAGAAAAGTAACAAATGGACAAAATAAAATGTCAGTGGTGAGATGAGAAGAGACTGATGGTGCTTCCAAATGAGACTTTTATTGTGCAGTTGCCCTGCCTCATTCACTGGACCTCTTATTCACAGGTGGCCCACCTGCGACAGTCTTTCATTTGTTACATTCTTCAGTTTTCCTACCAGTTCTTCTGTCTTAATGGAAAATCTGGAAAGAAAAGGTGGAATATTTGCAAAATGGTAGCACTATTTATTTATTTATGTATTTATTTCCTTTCTGTACCACCCCGTAGCTGACACTCTCTGGGCTGTTTGTAACAGTGTATAAAACAAAGAAATAGTATAAAACATTTAAAATTAATTTAAAATAGCTTTAAATATAGTAAAAATACAATAGAAAGACCCAGCAAAAAGAAACTCCAGGATAATCCTGCGAGCCCCTGGGATAACCAAGGAGATCTTTAAAGACCTCCACAAAGAGAGCTGTCTTGACCTGGCACCGAAAAGATGGCAAATCTTCAGTGAATTGAGGCATTTCCTCACATAGAGAGTTACATGTGAAGGTAATAACTGTCTTCCAATGATAGTACTACTGCTACTATCACTAGTCCTTCAAAAACACAATTTTCTCTTGCCAAGTGTTTTATAGAAACAGCTATGAATGAAGCCACACTGCAGTCTGTGTTGTGTAATGTATCTGTGTGGGTGAGATATTCTTTATGTGGAACACTGAAAAAGGTATTTCTATACAGAATTGGGGTGCTTTTTATTAATATATTGTTGTCATGGATACAGGTAGTATGACAAGTATTTATTGTCTTTTAGTGTTGCATATTGCTAGACATCATAGTAAAAAAGGCATTTCTCAGAGATGCCCATTTCTAATCTTAAATTGGAAGAGGAAGAGGAATTATGGTGAGGTTAGTCAAAGCTAACTAGTAATAAGTAAAGCAGGAAATGTGAGGTTATTTGTTCATTCATTTGCGTGTGCATGTATACATGCTACTTTTAAAAAAAATGTGTATTTTTTTGGCTTGTAAAATGCCCAGTGCAGCCAACAATAGGTTACATATTCTGATTTTTTAAAATGCACACAACTTTAGAATACTCGTGCAATGTTTATAATCCTGCACAACAGACTTAGGGCAGTATCCAGTGCTACCCATGTGCTGGGGGGACCTATTGTTCGCGCAGCGGGGAGTCAGCAGTTCTTAAAACAACTGGAAGTGAGGTCAGCAGAGCTCATGCAAGGGAACTTGCAGACCCATGACAATCTGAAAACAACTATTTCCTTTTGTTTTTAGGGTTACTTTAAGAAATGCTAGCTCCATGTTGTGCTGGGATGGGTTTTACTGATGCAACAGATTGAGTGGAAGTGCAGCAGGAAAACAGGACACTGTCTAGAGATGGCAGAGCAGGTAAACAGTTTAGAAATGTCAATATAATCCACTGATCAAATTAAATTCCTGTCTAAGAAAAAAAAAGGAGGTAGAAAAAGGATCAGAGACAGAGCTCAATGGATCTGCTAGGGCAGAGAGATCTGCAGTCTGGGTGCTGCTACTAAAAGGACCCTTTCTCATCTATATCTAGCAGGTATATCCTAGATAAAATTTAAATTGTGGCTTCAGGCTGTCCAGTGGTTGTGAGAGCAATGCTGCAGCTGCCTATCACCAGGTAAGCGTGTGCTAATGCAGGAGTTTCCTGGCTTAACGGGAAGGTACTATGCCATGCTTCCTCTCAAAACTGGAGTTGACCCCAAAAAAGCATATTTATGAAAAGTAGATAGCATGACGCTCCCACCATTTTTATGTGTAGATGTTTTTCTTAAAAAACTGAATAAGCTTTTTATTTTTTCTTTAAAAAGCCGAATAAATTCCACTTTTAACCTTGTCACACTATCTCTTAAAATCATTCAGAGGACAATCTTAGCCAAGTACACTCAGTTATAAGCTCAACTGAGTTCAATAGGAGTTACTCCCAGGTACGTACATATAAGATCACAACCTTAGTGAATCAAGTTTCTACAGTCTCTTTGTTCCATTGTGCAATTGGAAGGATTCCCAAACCTCCAATGTAACTCTACTGTGCTGCAACCTGAAGCCATTGTGTATGCCTCCATTTCCTTCCCCCCAAACTTTAGTCACTTTATTTTTGACAAACGTATAGATATTTGCCAAATCCTCTGCTGAAATTATTTCTTCCCTTAACTTTCAGCCATTCATTCGTCATACAGCGTGCTAAGTGTGAATGTGTGTGCAGGCGCATGTATGGATGCGTGTGGCCCTGACCTCCAAGCCACAGCCTTTAGACTCAACCATTTATAACAGGGGTGGGAAACACATGGGGGCCCCTATCCTTTTTTGTGACCCCCCCCACAGTTTTCCTGAACATATTGGGATACATCTATTTAGCATCTGTGAAGTGCTTTGTGGAGTGATATCTCAAGTTTGTATTGAAGAATTTTATTCTGAGGTTTCTTAGCTGGGGGAACAGGCTTAAAGCGTGTTGGAATTAAAGATATTTAAAAAATGTGCGGGTTAGTTTATTTATTTATTTAAGATATTTGTATGCCGTCCTTTGCAAGAGCCTCAGGACGGCTTACACAAATAAAATTCTGAAGAACATAAACAATATAATATAAATAAATTGACAACCCACTCTGGCTGCAAATTAAAATGCGGTAATAAAAATTCAATATTAAAACTATTAAAATATTGATTAAATAAAAAGGTCTTAACCTGGCACTGAAAAACATATAATGATGGCGCCAGGCGGACCTCTCTGGGGAGCGCATTCTATAAACGGGGCTCCACCGCAGAGAAGGCCCTCCTCCGGGTACTCTGTCTCCTAATATCTTTCACAAAGGGTTCCCGGAGGAGGGCTTCTGCTGTCAATCTCAGGGGTCAGGAGGGCAAATAGGGAAGAAGGCGTTCCTTTAGGTATCCTGGTCCCAAGCCGTTTAGGGCTTTATAGGTAATAACCTGCACCTTGAATTGAGCCTGGACTTCGATGGGAAACCAGTGGAGCTGATAGAAGACTGGGGTTACATGAGAATAATGCCCAGTCCCCGACAGCATCCTGGCAGCTCTGTTTTGCACCATCTGAAGTATCCGGACTGTCTTCAAGGGCAGCCCCATGTAAAGCACGTTACAGAAATCCAACTGGGAATTCACCAATGCGTATGTTACTGTTGCTAGGCAATCTTCCTCCAGGTAGGGACACAGCTGATGGATTAGCTGAAGCTGAAGGAAAGTGCTCCTTGCCACCACTGTCACTTGAGCTTCCAAGGACAGCTCCGGGTCAAGGAGCACTCCCAAGCTGCGGACCCTGTCCTTTAGAGGGAGTGCAACCCTGTCCAGGTCAAGGCCCAAGTCACCTACCCAGGAACTCGATCCACCCACCAACAGGACCTCCATCTTATCTGGATTGAGTTTCAGTTTATTGGCCCTCATCCAGCCCATTACCTTGGCCAGGCACCGGTTCAGTACAGCCACTGCCTCACCTGGGTTAGTTGAAAAAGAGAGGTAGAGCTGAGTGTCATCAGCATACTGATGACTCCGCAGCCCAAACCTCCTGATGACCTCTCCCAGCGGTTTCATGTAGATATTAAAGAGCAAGGGGGACAAAATGGACCCCTGCGGTACTCCATGGCAAAGTTGCCATGGCGCAGAGCCAAAGTCCCCCAGCACCACCTTCTGGAATCAGCCGTCAAAGTAAGAGCGGAACCACTGCCAAGCAGTGCCTCCTACTCCCAATCCCGCCAGCCTATCCTGGAGGATACCATGGTCGATGGTATCAAAAGCTGCTGAGAGGTCCAGGAGAACCAACGGACACACTCCCTGTCTCTCTCCCTGCACAGGTCATCATACAGGGCGACCAGGTTAGATTCAGTACTGTACCCAGGTCTGAAGCCGGACTGAAATGGGTCCAGATAATCGGTCTCATCCAAGAGTACTTGGAATTGTCCCACCATCATCCATTCCAACACCTTGCCCAAAAACGGGATGTTGGCCACCGGTCTATAATTGGTGGCCATCTCTGGATCCAGAGATGCCTTCTTTAGGACAGGCCTGATTACCACCTCCTTTAAAGGAGCGGGCACCCAGCCATCCCTCAGAGAGGCATTAATAACCTCCAGGATCCAGGAACCAATCCCGTGTTTGGCTTTGGTCAGCAGCCATGAAGGGCAAGGGTCGAGTAAGCAGGTGGTAGGACGTACTTGTCCAAGCACCTTGTCCACATCATCAGGCCTCATTAACTGAAATTCATCCATTAATACCTGACCAGACGGAGTCATTGGTGTCTCCCCTAAAGGATCTGAATCAATTGCGGAGTCCAGCTTGTGACAAATCTGAGTGATTTTCTCCTTGAAGTGCTGGGCAAAGTCGTCACAGCGGGCCATCGATGGTGGTACAGGATCTTTCTTAGGGCCAGGGTATATCAGCCCATGTACCACTTGAAAAAGCTTCGCTAGATGGCACTATGAGGAGGCAATGGAAGTGGAGAAGAATTTCTTCTTCGCTGCCCTCACCGTCACAGCATAGGCTCGATAATGAGCACGTAAGCGTGTTCAGTCAGATTCATCCCGTGATTTCTTCCACCTACGCTCTAGACGTCTCCCAACCTGCTTCATTGCCCGTAATTCATATGTATACCATGGGGATGGACGGGCTCTGTGTGGCAGGAGAGGACGCTTAGGGGCGATGGTGTCAATTGCTCTGGCCATTTCCCCATTCCACAGTTCAACCAGAGCATCAACAGGAGCACCAGCTTTATCAACCAGAAAATCCCCCAGAGCCTCAGGAATCCATCCAGATCCATCCGGCTCCGAGGGTGGACCATCACAATAGGGTCTGCACCCTTACAGAGGGAAAGGCCAGCTCCGAGCTCAAACCTCACGAGGAAGTGATCTGACCATGACAAGGGAGTCAGATGCAAATTCCTCACCCTCAAATCACCCTCTTCCTGCCCCATCGAGAAAACCAGGTGCAGTGTGTGACCACGTTCATGGGTTGGGCCTGTGACATGCTGAGACAGCCCCATGGCCATCATGGAAGCCATGAAGTCCTGAGCCGCCCTGGTCAGAACAGTCTCGGCATGGAGATTGAAGTCCCCCAGGACCAACATCCTGGGGGTCTTCAACACCAGGTCCGAGACGATCTCCATCAGCTCAGGCAGGGAGTCTGATGGGCAGATGGGTGCATGGTATACCAGCAGAGTCCCCAGTCTGTCTCCATCACCCAGCGCGAGGTATAAGCACTCTAGACCTGGCCTCAAGAGAACAGGAAGCCCCATGAGAGCAATAGAAGCTCGGTAAATTAAAGCGACTCCCCTCCCCTCCCCTCCAGACATGACTGGTGCTGAACTAGATACCTGGGCGGGCACAGCTGAGAGAGGGCTACATTCTCCTCCCTCTCCTGCCCAGGTCTCTGTAATGCAAGCCAGGTCGACCCCCTCATCCACAATTAAGTGGTGGATGAGGGATGTTTTATTATGGACCGACCTGGCATTAAGCAGCAGCACCGTCAGGCCCAAGGGGCTGTTGATAAACTAACCCGGAACCTTCCAGCTAGGGGAATAACCAGAAGGTGGAACAGGTATCAACCATCTGTCCCTCCTTCTATGCCGACATGTTAATCCCCCAATGCCATTTCTCCCTCTGCCCAAGACCACCCCAATGGTGGAGCCCACACGCTCCCCAGGCAACCCCATAAAAGCAGCAGCAAGATGTGAAGTCACTAAAACAAATACAATGAAATACAATTTAAAACCCTCCAACCCACCCAGTACAAAAACACACAAAATTCCCGGCCCAGCCCAGCCCCACACAGCCCCAAATGGCAATGATGCCCTTAGGCCCACGGCGCCTCCCTGCGCCCCACCCCCAATCCAGCGCAGCTGCCACCCTCGCTGGGGGGGGGGCAAGGGCAGGGCCTGGGGAGAACTTGCCAGCACAGGTGGAGGAGCCGCAGGCCAGCAGTGTCCCCGGTCCAGCGGTGGCCACTGTCTGTTGGAGCAACGGTGGCGTCTGTGGGGCATCTGCGGCGGCCGGTCAGTCCGCGGGTGGCAGCGGTGGTGGGCCTGTCCTGTTTGATAGAACACGTAAATAGTTGTGCAATTATTGACGTATTACTTGCCTTAAAGACAGTGTAAGATAACAGTATAGCATTGCAAATGTTTTCCTGCAAGCACATTAGCTACTGACTGCAAGTGAGAAAAACTTTGTGACATCAGCCTTTTAGAGTCACCTCTTAATTGTGGAAATATTTCTTCTACAACAAAATGAATCCATTTCCCATAAACTTTGAGGATTGGTTTTTGCTGAAGGAGAACATCAGCATGAAAAGTCGGCATATGGCAAGCTGATGCTGCACAGATTTGAAGGCTTTTACTTTCATCTGAGATTGCATGGGAGAAACAGATCTGCCAATTACTGATATATAACCCTTTGCCAACAGTGTTGATTGAATAACATTAGGCTCTTCAACATTTCAAGTTTTGGAATCATGGCATCTAATGAAGAGAAGATTGTGCTTGAAGTTGGTATACTTTTATGCATTTTAAAAACAATGTTCCTGTTGTTTTATTGAGAAAATATATTTATTGTATTATAGCAGTACTGAAGTAGTACTGAAGCAGTACTGAACATTGGTTGGATTTGTAACATTGGTTTGGATCTCTCTCTCTCTCTCTCTCTCTCTCTCTCTCTCTCTCTCTCTCTCTCTCTCTCTCTCTCTCTCTCTCAACACAGAATTAGTTCAGTCTGCTGTAGGGAACGGGTGGGAGGATGAGCTGGACTGAAACATGATACAACTTTTATTGCATTTTAAACTTCCATTGTTTGATATAAATTGGGTGGGGACCCTAGAAAAGAATTTTACAGTCTGAGTACTGACAAGTTAACTGTGCCAGCTTTCTGCTTGTTAAACCAGGGAAGAAGGAAAGTAGAAGGCACAGGAAGTGACAGGTTGCCATCTGCTAGTTATAGCTTCTGAATTGGAGTGTGGCTGCTTGCCACAATCCCCACTGGACATTGTGGCTTCTTTAGGGGATCACCCATATAGCATTTCTATGGGGTTTACCTCCATTATGGTGGTATGTGCTGAAATTCTCTCTTTTATCATGCATTCTTATGGAAGTATGTGCATAAATGAAAATCCAGTTTTCAGGGTCTGTTAGACCCATCTAAGTCAGATCATGGAAAAAAATAGATTGTTTCAGTGAAAATAAGAGCATGAGATAAACAACTGATGCTTTCTTACCTAAGCGTTTTCAAAACCTCCTGAAGCTAACCCCATAACTTTATTTTATATGTCTGGTGTAGCCTGTTTAAAGGCAAAGAAATGTAGCCAGGTTTTGACACCAGAGTGATATACTCTCCAAGCAGGGTTTCCAGAAACTATTGCTTTCATTTTAATGTTGCGGTTGGGACCAGATGGTATGATTGCTTTGCAATACACTGTTAGAATTTTTACTAGTGGAGAAAAACGGGGGTAAAATGATGGGTGTGAGTGGTGATCTGAAATATATTTCTGCAACAGTTTAATTATTTTGAGTATGCCTTATCAGATAAGTTCATATTCTGAGCTTAGAATTTCTGTAACAATGATAAAGCATATCATCATAAACAATATGATGATTCAGGGATGCTAATGTTCAAGATGTTCTGGTTAACGTCACCAAATAGATACGTACAAGCTATCAGGGTATCTGCTCCTAACCCAAGTCCTGTTTAAATGCCTTTCGTTTAGAGTTTGTGAGGAAGCAAAACAACCAAGAGTGTTGTTGTTTTTTAATGGACAGAGAGAGAGGTAACTATTGGATAAGCTTGGTCCAGAAGTTGTAAAACTTGTCTTTTAGGCAATGTAGCCATCCTTCTTGCCTTGTGCAATATGTTTATTGGGTAATAGCCAGCAGCTGATGAGTTACGGTACCTCATTCTGGGGACTGGCTGCAGAAGAAAGGGAAAGGGGGACTGGAGAAGAAGAAGGAGGGAACCATCAGGATACAAGGTCAGCCTTCTGAAGCACTTTCCCCTGAAGCACACCAACTAAATGACCACTCTTCCTGCTTTGCTTTTGATGATTGTAAGCCTCTAAGTTCAAAGGTTTATGAGCACTGATTGCCCCCTAAATAACTTAAATTGGTCCTTGTTACTGTCTTGCATGTTAACTTCTTCAAATAATAGTTCCAAATGATTAGACCAATACCTGAATGTATTGGAGGACTCTAAGAACAGTTATGCATATCTGTTTCACTGCCAGGAGGAACATTTGGGCAAAGCTCCAAATGCCAGTCAGTGAAACTCATCTGCCTTTGGGTCCACACAGTTAATTTCCCCTGCTTGGAAACTATATTCTTCTAATAAGAAAATGGAAGAAGATGAGCAAATGCTGACCTGGGCATCATTTCTGTACCAGTGTACAACATGATAATATTCACAGTAATAGTTCCTTGCTGCAAACCCTTCCCTTCTTCTGTTGTTTCTGGAACAGTTACTCCCACCAATTTGTGGTATAACCTACCATCAACTTATTCCAAGCATTTATTGGATTTGGTCTGTGCTTGAAGGGAGACCCCTTGGGAAGCATATATGGATGCCTTCAGCTCTGTGACAGAGGAAAGGTGGGATATAAATGCAATGAACAAATCATGGACAATTGCCAATGAACTATAAATATGATAATTCATGATGACATTTAATTAAAACCTTGGTGCTTCGTTGTTAACGTTTCAGTGCTTAGTTGATTAATCTACTAGATTTATCACTTTAAAACTTTTGATCAAGTAAAAAAGATGTCCCTGGTTAATCATGGAGTTTTAAAAAATCTAAATTGTTTTTAATGCATGTCTATAAAACAACGAATCTTTTCTACAAGGAGGCTCAAGTTCCTTGCATGTGAAGGGGAGGGACCATCCAACTTCCTTGCCTGGACAGCAGATAACTGACCTGATGAAGAAAGAGAAGAAATGAATTTTTAAAGCCGTAAAAGAGGAAATGTAGACTTAGTCTCTTCATGTCTTGAGAATCTTAGTGCTTCCAAACCAGGAAGGATGAGGTAGACCAAGGGCGAGCAGTCTAAATCACCTTCTGAGGCATGCCTCTAAAGCTGTTAAGCAGCATTCCGCTACACAGCTGTCATCTGCCAGTGATGGGAAAAGAAGCTGTATGCTGTGACATGAGGCCATGGCTCAAAGAAACAGCTTGGTGGAACTCCAGGTTCTGTTACTCCTTGGTTCAGTGTGGGGTGGGGGGTGGGAAGATGGAATAGGCTGCAAAGGCAGATGGTTGTCTACTTTCTCTGTCATTTTAGCAATCATAAATGGCATCCAGCAGCAGTAGAGCCCAGAGATCCCCAGAGTGCTGAAGGTTTTGTCAGTAATTCCCCAGAAGGGCTCCATAAGGGGCTTCCCCTTTCCTGACTTTTTTTTAAATTTTGAACTTCATCACTATCACTAGCAGTGTTGAAATTCCTGCCTGCAGGGCTGAAATTCATCACAACGCATATAGCAACACTGAAGCCTAGCTTCTTACAGACCAATACAGTGGGGGAAGGATGGCAGCTCCCTGTCCCTTTGGAGCAAGCAGCTTCTGCTTTATCTGTGAGAGGCAAGGCTGAGGGTTAAAAGAAGTAGCCAATAGGAAGGCAGCCACCTCAAAGCATCCCCCCAACTCTGTTATGAATCATGAACCCAGAAGACTCTTGAACTTGTCAAATATTAGTCTGGCAGAAGAGGAAAGTTTTCCTGTAAAATTTTCAAAGCAAAAGTAGTGGGGGAGAACCTTTCTACCTTCTTCTCCTTAAACATGCCACTAGAGAGGCATATAAAGGCATTAGACACTGCAGAGATATCACCAAAATTTCTCAAATGTTTCTGCTATTATGTCATTTTTCCAGGGCTAAATTGGTCCAACCTTAAAAGCAGCCTAAAAATAATTTTAAATAAATAAATAAAATCTTCCTGGAACTAGGGTGAGAAGGCCTTTTCCATTGCAAGAAAGTTGCTCTTATGCATGCATTAGCAAATTCTTCTTGTCATTCATGAGGGAAAAAAGAAACCACTCAAATACATAATCTGATCCCTGACTTAAACGTGAACATGTCAGCACCTTTTCTGTGAAGCAACCTCAAACAACATTAGATTAAAAAAACAGTCTCTGAGGATGACAAATTGTATTACTAAAAGTACATTTTTGTTGCATTTCCAATAATGAGTTTTCAACCCAAATGGCATCTGATCATAAACAAGAGGGCCCATCAAAATCTTCCATAAGAAAAATATCCTATTAAATCTGCAGTTTGCAATACCTCAGTTAGTACCAAATGTGTTACAAACATATGTGGAAGCCGAACTCCTAATCAGGCTGAATGATGCAGAGAGAGAGATAAAGAAGTGCAAAAATCAGGCCCGATGATGTAGCCATGAGATCTCCCTTTAATAAAGGTATTGCTCAACTGTGCACAGGCAGATCATTTTAATGATTTGACATTTTGCTGGACTTTTGAGGCAAAAAGTCCTCCATAGACATTTAATTAGTCTCCAAAGAATGGCATAATTCAACTTTCTCAGTCCTGAAATATTTCAACAAGGGCATGAGAAATTAATTGCTGCAGAGTTTTCAATCCCGAAGTGAAGGTAGCAGCATCAGAATTTGGATCTTTTAAAAGCACAGAGTTTATAGTCAGTCTCTCTTCAGTCCTGTGGCTGTTGTGCAGTTTCTCATATAGGCCTTATGACATACAGTGACCTGTAATGAGCAAGTATTTTCCCTTCCCAGACAACATCCTTCTTACATTAAAAATGCAGGTCTCATTCTAAGAAGAAGAGGATATTCCAACCTCTTTTTCCTAATGCAGAGGCCAGTAATTAATTTGCAAATGTATCTAAGAGCTGCTTTCTACCCTTACTAGAGATGCTGTAATATCTGTGTTGATGGCAACATTCAGGACCATGGCACTATTCAGGACCAGGTATGAAACCTTTTAGGTAAGAAACCTTGCTTGGGAAGTGGAATTCCTGGAGGAGGCAATTGAAGAAACTGTCAACTAGTTGACTTTTGAAACAACCATATTAGTAGTCCAGGCCATTTTCTCTGATTTTTTTCATTATATGCCTAATCATTTTTAGAATAGCTCTTATTACGCCTTAGGTTTCTTGGACGTTTTCTTCATTGAATAAAAAAGCACTATTTGCTTTGATAAGCTTTCTTTAGGAACTGTACTAATATGCAGCACTAAATTCTCAAACAATAACTCTTAGTTTTACCTGTAAACCCCACACCTGTTTCCCTTTCAGTCAATAAAATAATGTGGGTGTTGAAGCCTTGCTCTTTCTTTGTATGCAAGGTAAGCTTGTTCCACAGGTTACAAGAGGAGTTTCTTTGTACCTCTTCATCCTGGTAGATAAGAAAAGGCACTAAGTACACTGTAGATCTTTGGGATTCCCCCTGGCTATGCCTGAGAAATATTGGTTTTCAATTCAGCCTACTCCTCAAGGAGGGCATGTGCCCAAAGAAATTCTAACAATTTCCAGAAACTAAACCTTTGTGAATTATTAAAGATGCAATCCTATGTATGTTTAGACAGGAAAAAGTCCTGCAACTCCAGCCCTGTTGGCTGGAAAATGTTGGGCTTATTGCTTTTCATGAAACCAGCAATGACCTTTCACTAGTGGAGTAATTGGCTACAGTTCTTGTGGGTAGACTAACCCCCTTAAAGTACATGCAAGGCAGCTATGTGAGTACCCACACTTGCTTTCAGTATATCACAAAACAGGCATCTTCTCTGCTCAATGTTTGGCAGGCAATTGTGGTAATAGTACTTCTGTTACATGTGAGCTGCTGGTAATGGAACCCTACATAGGTTAACATTAGCTTAAACATTCCAGTTATGACAACTGCTTCTTTTATCACCCAGAAAGGGAAATTTTGCTTACTTGTAATGTGTGCATCATCTAAATCCAAAGCACTTTTTCTTAGAACTATTATTTTTACTTACATGCAAATATATGCAAATTTAATCAGTTGTTTGATTGGTTAAAGCACATAGGGTTAAATGGTGGGTTTCTAGGATTGGGTGGCAGCCCTACATTCAATCCAGTAATGTTGTCAGTTTCCTGCATTTAATGACAACCGTTGCAGCATGGTCACTGCATTGCATTTAGTTTCTACATCATGCCACACTCCTGTTATACAGAATAAACTTAAAAGTTAACAATTGCAAGATTCAATGTTTTGCTTGATCCTACTTTATGATTAATATAAGCAGTTTTGACAGTCATTGCTCTTCTATGAGTTTGAGAAAGATTTTCCATTTCATTTCTTTTGGCAAATACCATCAAAAGACCATTGTAGAGCTTTCCCCAACTTTTTACCTTGTTCCAGATGTTTTGGACTCCAATTCTTCTCATGCCTGATTTTTGGCAACTTTGGCTAGGGCTGATGGGAGTTGTTTAAACATCTGGAGGGCACCAGGTTATAGTAGATGAATAAGGATATGAGCATCGAAATACTTTCACCCTGCTCACTTTTTCAGTTAAAAGTGATCCTTTCCTCTTAATTTTAATATAGAACACCTAACACTCTTGAAAGCTTGCATGCATATCATAGCATGCCAGTTGCCCACCTGGGAAGGAGGTTCGTGAAAATCAATTATTGTAGTACAGCAGATCAGTAGTCTGTAAAGCTGCTCAGTCTGAAGGGTGGGGGCTGCTTATGGCCTCTTTTTTCTTGCGTGTACCATGCATGATAAGTATTGTGATACTGCAATTAAATATAGCCAAGGACACAAATGAATTAATCCTAAAGGGAAACAATTTGTTCAGCTATGAGGACCATGATGGATATGCTCTGTGGCCTGTGGCAGATGAGGGATAATGCTACTTTTTGCTAGGTAGTTGGGAATGGAGCAGGGACCCCACTGAAGGAAGCTATTATGGATTGGGTGTGGTAAGATCACAACCATTCGGGCCCTGCCACTTTTATCTTCTGCCTCATTCACCTCCAGAGTGTGAAGGCTTACCTGAAATGGAATTCAACTCTTGGGCTGGAAGAAGCTCGGCACCCCTAGAGTAGCACGATTCCCTTTCCAATGAACCCATGAAGTTTCCTGATAAAGCTATACCACTGTTCCATCCTCTAACTGAGAATGCTCCATGTGCTTGCATGATCACTGGGTGTTTAATAAGCCACCACAGTTTGGTAACCAACATGCAGAGGCCAACTAATTTATTTATTTATTTATTTATTAAAACATTTTTATGCCGCCCCATTCGCCGAAGCCTCGGGGCGGCTCACATCATTGCCCTTGGCAGTGCCGCTCCCCATGGCATGGGAATGCAGCACATGTTGCTGTGGGCTGTTGAAAAGTGCTGGGGTAGCTTGCTAATCATGGAAAAAACTCCATAGGATTGCTGGGAAAGGGCATCTGGAGTTCTGCGCCACTGTAGCAGGCATACATCTCCCTTCCAAGGCTTATGTCACTGAGTTCTCAGTTAATTTGTACAATCAGCATTACAGCCTTGGCTCCTCTCTCTCTTCACATAGAATGCCTGGATTTCCTTAAAGTATAAATACTAATTTGTGGGTGTTAAATAGTTAAGAGAGAACCTTACATTGCTTAGCTGTCTTCCAAATGCCTCCTGCTTTGAGATGCTTTATCATTTAATTGGGTAATCAGTTACGCAGCTAAAAAAATGCACAGGGGTTTGAGCCTTCAGCAACCAAAGCAAGCAACAGCAAAATGTTTGTGTATTACTTTGGTCTCCCTTTCAGCACTGCCACTATGAACCATTTGCTGTGCATATGTTACAATGTCTTCCTTTAAAATGTGTTGGCTCATTGCGTTTTGTTTTCAGTGACTTCTCTCTATTTTAAGAGCTGTTCCTAAACAGGCTGCAGTGTCACTTGACCATTTAGTCTCTATTTGAAATTTAATTTATATGTTTTCCTTTTTCTTTAGGAAGGTGATAGTCAAGCAATGTCTACCAACTTAAAATACCTTTCCCTGGGGATATTGGTCTTCCAGACAACTAGTTTGGTTTTGACTATGCGTTATTCTCGGACACTGAAAGAAGAAGGACCTCGTTATTTATCTTCAACTGCAGTGGTCATTGCGGAGCTTTTGAAGATTATGGCCTGTATTTTGTTGGTTTACAAAGACAGCAGTAGGTGTTTAATTTAAAAAAAATCTTATCAGGAACCTCTTAATGTTTTGTTAACACAAACCGAATGTAACCTAACAGAACTAAATGTTGCTGTGTATCCTTCTTCCTGAAAGAAGAGTTCCTGGTTCTTCTGGTTTACAGCCAGCCTTCCTTTGGAAGGGCATTCCATCTTTTCCTTTTATCCTCCCATTCCAGTTTTCTTTTTCATCTGTCACTGTATGATAGTTGAGTATGCCCGTTGACCAGGGATAGGATGGGTCGGGTGGTACAGATAGGAATTTGTCTCTTGGTGTACTTCTGCATCTCTCTCTCTCTCTCTTTTTTAAGGTTTTAAGCCTTTTATTCTGAAGAACTTCAAAGCTATGCAGGCAATGAATAATGAAGGAGCTTGTAATGGTGGTGCTATGCAGATGTTGTCCCCTGCTTTCTGAGAGGCTTCACATTACCTTTTAATAAATTTTATTGTTTTCACTACAATCTAACTTTAAAAACAACGATTATTTAAGACATCAGATATACTGGGTTAACATCTTCCTCATTTTAACAGTCAATAGTCATATTCAAATCTATGCATAGTCCCGTTTCTCTAACTGATAATAAAACGAATTCCAAGTTTGGTAGAGATATACATCCTCCTTCAGAGACAAGATCGATCTGTCCCTTTCCATGCAGTCCAAAATCCTTTTTGAGCTCAACTTTCGGTGCATGACTTTTCACTCCTCCCGTAGTGAGCAAATAAATAAAATAAAATCCTTGCCATAGTAATTACATATAAGTTCAAATATATGGTCTATTTATCAATATCATTAAGAATAATATCTAATCAAAAAAAGAGAAAAGCCTTCAGATTTAAATTTGTGTTTACATTTCCAACGTCTAATTGACAAGTTTAAAAACATTTCTACTAAACTTAGCAATAAGAACTATAAGTCATTTACTTCTTTCTATCTTTCTATAGAACATTTGTATAGGTTTTCTTTATGTGAAATTACTAAGATTACCTTGATATTTCTTTCTCACAACTTTTATCGTTTCTATAACTCAATGTTATGTCCAACATTTTGTGCCTGTATTATCATAGTTTCCTTAATTCATTCATCTTTCATTTTATACCCAAGAAGAAGTTATACAATTCTTTGATCATTCTTTCATCCAGTTCTAAAATCATTTAATCAAATGTTACTAATTCCTTTATAGGATCATATATCCTATAAACTTCACATATCTCAATCATATTTGAACTTTATGCCACCAATAAATGTCATTACCCTTATCACCTATAAGCATGCCATCCCATTTATAAATCATATCCTTCAAGATATGTAATTCCCTTAAAATTATCCATTCTTCTAACATAGCTTAGGTTCACTCTGTAAACCAGGTCAGATTGTTTATCAGTCTCTTCCTTTTCCAAAACAGAAACATCTGTTAGCATAGTGTTTATTAAACCACTTAGGTTTTCATTTTTTGCTTCTAGTGTGTTCTGGAATCTCTCCAATATGGCAACTGAATCCTATAATAACTTATTTGTTTGTGTTAATTGTTGCTTCTCTTGATCCATCTTTTCAATTTTCTCTTCAAAAATTTCAGCCTTCTTTTTCACTTCTTGTATCTTTTGTTCATTTTGTTTTATTTTAATACCAGAACCTGCAAGTTGATTCATTATCTTCAAGACATAGCTATCCAATTTGTCCAATTCATCCTTTTGTTCCAAAGCAATTCTTGTGTAGCGTTTTGCATAGACTCTTAAGATGCTTGGATAGGTGTTAAAGATGCTTGTATTGCCAAGAGTGTTGTTTGTAAGCTTGGAGAAGCAGACGTAGATGCCACAGTTGATAGGTAAATTTTATCCATGATGAAAGTAAAAGGTTTAATTAAAACAATTTTTAAATAACCTGTTGTGATACTAAATAGCCACAAAAATCAGAGAGAGAAAAATAAGGGATTTTTTTTTTTGGCAAACAATGTATCTGTTAAAAAATAAAATGACCATAGGGTGGCAGCCAAAAAGTTATTTCTTCAACCATACAGAAACTGGAGGAATCTGATCGCCATGTCTCCAAAATGGAAATTTAAAAAAAGAGAGAGCTTTTTCTACCAATTAATTTAAAATAAGTTCAAATTTAATTCTTCGCCCTTGGGGAGACTAAACATAGAAAAAAAAATCTCTTCCAAGTCCCAAATTTGCCGAAGAGGTTCCCTCCCTCAGCCAAAGGGCCTTTCTTTTGTTATTCAGATTGATGGTTATTTCACAGATTCTTTCACAGGCAGTATTTTAAAAGGTTTAATTGCTCACCCAGCAGGTCCAATGTCCACTGTTAAGCTTCTTTTTGTTTTCTTCACTATTAATCCTTGCCGACAGCTTGTGAGGGGGTGCACCCCTCTCTGTCCATTCACTGAGAATTCCCCCGAATTTCTCCCTTCAGGTGAGGAACTGCCACCCCCCACCAGGCAGAAGTATGCTTGGGCTGCTAATCCCTACTTCTGCATATCTCTGTGTTTCCTCAAGCATGATAACAACACCCTCATGCATTTTGGTGACCTCATTTTGCCTATAGTCCTGTTGACACTCACCACCTGAGTTTGCTGTTAGAAGGAATGATACAGTATTGTGTTTTGGATATGACAACAAAAACAATTCAAGATCCAAAAAAGGCATGTGTTGGCATAGGAGGGAAATACATAAGCAGCTAGAATCTGTCATCCTGGTTTGACTGCAGAAGTTCCCCTTGCTGAAGAGACAACCTACTTAAAACTGTGCAATCCTTTCTCTTCAGAAGCAAAAAAGCAGATATGCCTGTGCCTTTGTCTGCTTTACTGCTTCTTGGCACATATATGTACTTGATACCAACCCTTCCCTGCACTTTTTCTATTTGTTTTGGATGTATATTGATTATATGTATCACTTTTACTTAGAAACTGCAGATTTAAAACAAAGCTTTAAATCTTCTAGCAAAAAGCAGATTAAAATTTATAGACAAGATTGTAACCTGGCAGTCCTTAAACTTTAAAATAGTCTTATAATCTCTCTTTTTGCATAGAGTGTAATTTACGATCTCTGAACAGAGTGCTACATGATGAAATCCTTAATAAGCCAATGGAGACACTTAAGCTAGCCATTCCTTCTGGGATTTACACACTACAGAATAATCTGCTATATGTTGCCTTGTCAAATCTGGATGCAGCCACTTACCAGGTACTTGCTTTTGATGGTTTGTTGTTCTTAGATTGGTGCAAACCAACAATGAGTTATTTTGATCATTTTGGGTTTTGTCTTTCCAGGTCACGTATCAGCTGAAAATTCTTACCACTGCATTATTTTCTGTGTCCATGCTCAGTAAGAAATTAGGTGTATATCAGTGGCTTTCATTAATGATTTTGATGGCTGGAGTTGCATTTGTACAGGTAAATATTACTATAAACATGCCCTTGAGTATTAAGTGATTATTGTGTCACTAGTAGATACGTGACTAGTGCCTCACAACCATTTTATACTCCACTCAAGTAGGATTGGTCTCCAAATGTCAAGGGCTTCAGGCTCCATTTCAGCATACTAGTAACAGTGGAAAGGAGGCTTATTCATATGGCAGACAGAACACTACTTGTTACTGTTTAAACTGTGAACACTGAAATTCTCATTATTAAATACACAGAGATCACATCACAGCAGGCTGAATTGGGGAACGGTTTCTTCCGTTAGAGTCAGTCGCTGGGTTCACACAATACAATAATCAGTACTCAAGGAACTGAAGCCAGCTGTGATAACCAGCCCTGGTTTGTTAACCACAAACAACCCACAGTTCTGCTTCGTGGTGTCTGTGAAATCACACATACGGGCATTGGGGTTGTTGTCTTCTTTGAATCTGATCTCACCATGTGTCCAGGGAAGCAGTGAGCAAGGCACTAGGCAGGAGCAGTGAACCCCTCTTGCTCTTCTTGCCAGGCTTGCCGAGGCCATCACTGGTGGCAGCTGCCCCACCAAGGCTTGAGTGGCACATGGGAGCAAGTGTCATGCCACCTCTTCCTTAAAACATTCCTTAATTTTTTGCACAGCTGAATGTACACAAAGCTTTTTTGTAATTACTCTGCCTTTATTTGACAACTGTCCAATGCGTCAGTTTGGAAAGTTACTGATGGGTAAAAAGGTTGTGTGAATCGGCCCTAAATAAGAGCTGGATGGGAAATGTTTCTGGTATTCTATTGTAACTCTTCACTTTTCATAAACAAGGGAAGTTATAAACTCCGTATACTGTTAATTTTGTTCAGCAACATGTATTTACCATTTTAATATGCACAGCTATTTTGCTTGTTTCTTTTAGTGGCCATCAGATTCACAGGTAGCAACAACTAAAGAACTTTCGGCAGGATCACAATTTGTGGGCCTGATAGCAGTACTTATAGCATGCTTTTCAAGTGGATTTGCTGGAGTGTATTTTGAGAAAATTTTGAAAGAAACAAAACAGTCAGTATGGATTAGGAATATTCAGCTAGGTAAGTCTTATCTGGAGAAAAACGCAGAGCAGAGATTTAAATCAGGGTGCAGTCAAAGTACCTCAGTGTGCTAAGTATAATCAAATTGTTATCAAAGCATATGCCAAATTTTCCATTAACATTGCTAACAGGAACTCCAGCAGTTGCATCCTGTTCAGAATGCAATTGTTGTTCACTTATTGTCTGACTCAACTTGTTTTGTTTGATTTGTGATAGCATCTAATGGGTGCTAAAGCGCATGGCTAGGATCCAAAGTACAGTGCAACTTGTGCATGAGAGCAAGGGGACTTTTTGCTTGGATGTGTTTATTTTTGAACAGCAGCTCCCCCATGCCATGTGAAAAACTTCTTTTGAAACTGAGAGGATTTATTTAGTGGGTACTCATTTGGCCAAAGACAAAAGGAAAATAAGCCACCATGGCTTATGTCCCCACTCTGTCTGTGCCAGTTGGGCTCTGTCAGACTGCTGTAATTACTCTTGCCTGGTTCAGTTTGACATGTCAGTGTGGCAATTTACAAATCACCTGGTTCAAACACACAACAAATGGCACCTGTTGAGAGTAATTATTTTCCTTTCCTGGTCGTGTGAACCTATTCACAAAGTCATCTTTCTCCTCTGTTTAACTCTCCAGATCCTGGCATATGGATCAGAGCTGAATTAAAATTGACTGGGTATTTGCAAGTCATACTATAATATTAATGGAGCAATTGTATATCCTATCCCTAACAAGATCTGAAAACAAATGTATTCCTCTCCCAACTCTTGGTTACTCATTATGGGGTTAAAGTCCAAAAGAATGGCATTGTTGCCTGCACATACTGTCACAGGTATACCAGGAGTGCATAGAAAAGGGCATCTCCAACTCAGTTTGTGTTAACTTTATAACTGTAAGGTTTTTTTGTAGCAGAAGGCCTCATGCTAGCGATTGAAACCATCCTTAATAATTTATTATGTTTGCTGAGAGGCTTTCCACTAAAAGCAGTCAGGCAAAATGTATAAAATTCTAATATGGGCATAACAATGAAACAACAGTAACCATAAAATGTAACATAACATTAACTCCATTTAAAAAGCACAGAAAAATAAATAATTTTCTATACTACACTTAAACTTTAATACTGAGATAGCTTGGCAGGCATTCCAGGGAAACTGATTCTAAGCAGTGATGCTACCACAGAGAATATCCTGATCTGGCTCACACAAGATGCCAATTCATATAGAGAAGGCACCGAGAGTAAAGTTTCTCCAGGAGACGTTAAAATAATATGGAGCTTAATATTTTTATTCAGTTTGTTTATTTCAGATTTTATAAGCTGCCTTTCTGCCTGATGGCTTCCTGAGGTAGCTAAAAGATAAAACTGCAAGCAGTAGTTTGATTTGTAGGTTTGAAAATGCCTTCAGCAGTTTCTCCATGTAGAACACAGTATAATAATTGGTAGAGAAGGTTACCACCATATGACTGTATCCAGTGTTAGCTTAAGATCCGTTCATTTCAGTGCATCAGTTCTAAGTAGGATTAACAATTAATACAAATGTATGTCTTCACATAAATCTTGGATTAAAGTTATCTCTTCCTTTTTTTTACTAGTTGTTTCACTTGATTCAAAATCTGTCTTGTCTTTCAGGGTTTTTTGGTAGCATATTTGGATTGATGGGTGTGTACATTTATGATGGGGAACTTGTATCACAGAATGGCTTTTTTCAAGGTTATAACAAGCTTACCTGGATAGTTGTCATTCTGCAGGTAATTCATCAATGGTTATACTTTCACAAATAAAAATTGGCTGGTTTTGTTTCTCCTCAGAACGAAAGTGCCCATTTTCGGAGGAAATTGCTACTGCTAGTGTTTAATCTAGTGAGACCCAGTGTGGTGTAGTGGTTAAGAGCATGGGGCTGGGACTCAGACGATCTGGGTTCTAGTCCCCGCTCAGCCATGGAGCCAACTGGGTGACTTTGGGCCAGTCACACTCTCTCAGCCCAACCTACCTCACAGGGTTGTTGTTGTGGGGATAAGATGGAGGAGGAGATGTAAGCTGCCTTGAGCCCTTTGTAGGAAAAAGGCAGGATATAAATTGAAAAATAAATAAAATAATCAAAAGATGAATTATGCTCATTCAGTTCAATTACTAGTTAAACTTATTTTGATTTTTAAAAGTTGCCCCATTGATTAGAAATATTATTTTAAAATAATTATTTTATTGTAAGCATTTATATAAGCAAAACAATGACAGCACCACATTCTCACCAAACTATGCAAGGCAATTGTCAATTTAGAAGTAACATTTTCCTTCTTTCTTATTGAGGAAGAAATACCTATTCTAAGATGGTGCCTTCTGTGGCATATGGATATTGTCTAAAAATTAAGTATGCTTTTTCCTCAGACTAGCTTATTCATATGCAAATCTATGCAGAATTTCTCAGTGAAAATCTTTTAAATTATATTTTCTTTAATCAGTTGGCCACTCCACTATTAATGATAACACTATTTTTAAATATCATTGCCCCACATATTGGCTCATCAAAGGCTGTTTATGTTGAGAAGCTCAACACAAAAGCAGCATTTTAAGATACAATCCAATCAAGATACCATGAGACCCCAAAATTGGAAAATTACAGACATCTTCAAAGCTGGAAAACAGCATCTCTTTCTTCCTCCTCCTCCTACTTTGCATTTCTTCTAGACAACTGTTTTTGTCTGTCTAGCTGGTATGTTTAAGATGGGTAGGGAAGGAGACTGGAGCCGAATCAAAATAACGCATTTTACACTTTCAATCAACTGTAATAAATGCTTAGGGACATCCTGTTCCTGAGATGTTAGCACAACAACTTGTACCTGGAATTCTCAGTTGTTAAACCATGGACAGTTGTTGGGTTAACTCTGAATTGTTTAACCACTACATGTGTAGCTCTTCTAATATTTCGGGCAGTTTCAACTCCTGCCCTCACACTGGCAGGAATGACCATCAGAGCGACAGGAAGCTGAGGCTTCCTACAGCAACCAGAAACTAGCCAAAATTAGAATTTCTAGAATGGTGGAAATAAGCTCCACTGACATGCCTTCTTTCAAAAATGCTTTTTAAGATAGTTACCAGTGTTTAAGCAAGAAAGTTTAGCTTTTCATTGTGCTGGCAGCCACTCCTTCCAGTGCAACTTAGTGGGCATTGGCAGCCAGCACTGGATACTGCTCAAAATGTTTCTTTTCCTTCAGGGTGGAGTTCTTTTTTTAGTGGGGGTTGTGAATATGCAATAATATGCCAAGGCAGATTTAATTGATTAAAGTTGGCCTGATCAATTAAAAGCTCAACAGTCCTATGCATGTTTAGACAGAAAAAAACTTACACATTGTAGCCCTTTTTGCTGCCTGAACATCTGGTGACAACTTACTTTTTAATGTTTTGTCAGGCACTTGGAGGACTTGTTATAGCTGCTGTTATAAAATACGCAGACAACATTTTGAAAGGATTTGCAACATCCTTGTCTATTATATTGTCAACATTAATCTCATACTTCTGGCTGCAAGATTTTGTCCCTACAAGGTAAGAATAGGTTTCATAATGAATTTGAAAATAGGAATAATTCACTTGGGTGTAAATTATCATCATTAAGCTGCATTTAAACACTTGGGTGAGCTTGTAAGATAAACAATTGACAATATAGTTGAGTGTCTGTGCTTTAAATGCAGTTTTATGGGGTTTACCCTAATTGTAAATAGGGTTGTAGTCATCCTGTAACAAATCAGTATATTCATGTGGATTACGAATCCATACTTTCTAGGGAGAGTTCATCATGACTTGCAGAAGATATGTTTGTGCACTCCAACTGCCTGGGCCCCATATGAAAGCTGAATTTTGTGTCCTGTATGCTGATTCCTGTCATACCATTGTTCCACTGATTTTCTTTTATAACACCTTATATACATCTTATTTTAAGTTTGGAACGGAAGGCATTTCTCAATGTATGGTTCCTAAGAGCAACTAGTCAAAAGAAATGGTGGAGCTATTCCATCTCTCTCCTTAATGGATTTTCTTTGGTGAGAAAAAGAGCAAGGGATGATAGGAAAACATTGGATGATGGGGGAAAAAACCCACTGTGGATGATAGGTCACTATGATTTCTTGTGTCATGTGAACCTGGACTGCTTCCCAAAGGGTGGCTTGTTCAAAGTTGGGGTTGTTGTATCCACAATGTATTATTTCATTGTCCAAACACAAACAACCCACTGTACATTGTAGGAAGCAGCTACAAGCTGCTCAGCAAGAGCAGCAAATACCATGCCACTTTTTCCAAGCTAGGCTGGGCCATCACCAGTGCCAGATGCCTGATTGACACCCCAGTGGCTCAGTAAAGCAACCATCACTGGGTCTGTATCCCAGCCATGACCGTGCATTCTTGTGAGATTTCTGTGGCTTCCCCTCTTCTCTCCTTTTCTTCCCTCCTCCAGATATCACTTTTCATAACTAGTGACAGCTCTTCAAAGTGCTTTTAGTGGGCACATCAGAGAGATTGTCACTGGTTCATCAACCTTTATTTTTTTTTTTAGTGCAAGAAATTTGTGCACTTTTTTGAACTTTTTACAATTCATTTTTATTGAACTTGTGCACTTATGCGGATCTGAAATAGCAAGGCTTACGTGTATAATGTTCTGAGATCTGTCTGCTATGAAAGTGTTGCAGACAACAGTAATGGTAACTGACAGAGGGGCTGCATACAGCTTTATTTTTAACTTTGCTTTCTCTTGACACCTGTCCAAAAACAAAGCAAACAAACAAACCAAACCCCAAAGCCTCAAAAGATTCTTGTTAATGAAAGGGAGTGGCTACTGATCAGCCCCCTTCATGGCAAGTTCCTGTTGGCATTCTGTTTTGACCTGACTTGTTAGGTTCCTCATACTTTCCCACCTTTCCTGAGTCTAGGTAGCCAGGAAAGTGGAAAAGTGCAAGCCACCCCTTTTTACTGGAGTGTGGAGAGCTGACAGCTAGCTGTGAGAACTAAGCTCCTTTACACAGACATGTAGCCCTATCTAAAAACCATGGACACCTTTGCCAACAAAAGTGTGTTTGAAAAAAGAACAGATACTGTAGTGTCTCACAAATGAAAGAGTTTTCAGTGTAGAAGAGAGAGAGAGAGAGAGAGACAGAGAGAGAGACAGAGAGAGACAGAGAGAGAGAGAGAGAGAGAGAGAGAGAGAGAGAGACAGACAGACAGACAGATGGACAGACAGACAGACACTGGACCAATTTCCTCTGATGCAACATGACTTGATTGTGATTTTAAGAGTAACCATCAATAAGCTAAGAAGTTATAACAGGTGAAGCAGTGGCTGTACTGAACTGGTGCCTGGCCGAGGTAATGGGCTGGATGAGGGCCAATAAACTGAAGCTCAATCCAGACAAGACGGAGGTCCTGCTGGTAGGTGGTTTGAACTCCTGGGTAGGTGACTTGGATCTTGTCCTGAATGGGGTTGCACTCCCTCTAAAGGACAGGGTCCGCAGCTTGGGAGTGTCCTCGACCCGGAGCTTACTTTGGAAGCTCAAGTATCGGCAGTGGCGAGGAGTGCTTTCCATCAGCTTTGGCTGATCCATCAGCTGCGTCCCTACCTGGAGGACGACTGCCTAGCGACAGTGACGCATGCATTGGTTACTTCCCGGTTGGATTTCTGTAACGCGCTCTACGTGGGGCTGCCCTTGAAGACAGTCCGGATACTTCAGATGGTGCAAAATAGAGCAGCCAGGTTGCTGATGAGGACTGGGCGTTATTCTCATATAACCCCAGTCCTCTACCAGCTTCACTGGCTTCCCATTGAAGTTCGGGCTCAATTCAAGGTGTTGGTAATTACTTATAAAGCCCATAACAGCTTGGGACCCGGATACCTGAAGGAACGCCTGCGGCCATATTTGCCCTCCCGCCCCTTGAGATTGGCAGCAGGGGCTCTCCTCCGGGAGCCTTCCGTAAGAGATATCAGGAAGCAAAGTTCCCGGAGGAGGGCTTTCTCTGCACTGGCACCCCATCTGTGGAATGCGCTCCCCAGAGAGGTCCGCCTGGCGCCGTCGTTATTTGTTTTTCAGCACCAGGCCAAGACCTTTTTATTCAAACAGTATTTTAATAATCTTTAATATTTATAGTTTTAATTATGCAGCCAGTGTGTTTCCAAGTTTTAATTGTAATTGTAATTCTATTTGTTTTATTTATTTGTTGTTGTGAGCCGTCACAAGGCTGTGTAGCAATGGGGACGGCATATAAAAACTTTAAATAAATAAATAAATAAATAAATAACATATTCTTCTGCAATACTGCCAATTACCATGTAGCCTTAATAGGATATTTTTAGTTTCTTAAGAGTTGTTCCAGGTCCTTTATAGACATCTGTAGCTGACCTGGCCATTCATTACATGCCTAAGACTGGAAAAAGTAAAAGTAATGAATATTCCTATTCTTAAGAATGTATTTTTATCAATATACTGTCTAGTTTATGAATGTACAAAAATATTCTAAACATTTATTCTCTTCTTTTAGTGTTTTTTTCCTTGGAGCTGTTCTTGTAATAGTTGCTACATTCCTCTATAGTTATGACCCAAAGCCTGCAGTGAATCCTATTAAAGCATAGCAGACTCTTTCATACAAGACCATTTTGCCAAGACTGTGCATTCAGGACCTCAAAATAACTCTGCACAGAAGACCATCAAACACTAGAAAGGAAGAGTTTACACTGTATCTGAAGAATGACATTAAATAATGGTATATGGGATACAGAGGGGTCAAAAACAGAAAATAGTATGTGCCTCTGAAAAAGAAGAAAGGCCTACAGCAAAACTTGAAGGGAAAATGCTGCCTCTAGTACTTACAGTTAGAAATGCTTCCAGCTTGAACTCTGAGGTTGAATCAGAATGACTTACTGTTTTTGACAGCTACAGAAATGTCCTATGCACTCTTCTCGCAAGAGCTTGTAACAACACTTGTTGAATCATACCTGTTTTTGCAAATTGACTATTTCGTCTTAGTAAGTATGTTTTTTTTAACTTGCTGTATATGTATATGTATCAAATCAGAGAAATAAGAACTAGTTCTACAGTAATATTTCTGATTTTGGTGTTCCTATTTAAAAACCTGCAAAGTACGATTGAATTATTCTCATTTCCAGATTTTTAGTATTTTATATAGTAAGATGAATTAATAAACAAACATTAGTGTTATACACACACACACACACACACACACACACATTTCTTACAATAATCTTTCTTGATAAGATTCCATGAGAGGAAGAATATAATACTTTTACCGTTTGTGAATTTCATCAGTCATGTGAGTGTGTATATGAGGAGGGGGATGGGCTTGGTCACTAAGAGCTCAATTCTGTGCATGCTTAGACGGAAAAAGATCCAGACTGGCTAGAGAATGCTGCGAGTTGTAGGACCTTTTCTGTCTAAAGATGTATAGGATTGCACTTCAACTATGTTGCTGCACCATTCCCATTTAAATAAAAGGAGGCCTTATTTAAATACATGACAAGGCCTATTGAAATAAAATGGTGGCAAGCACAACTACAGTGCCTGCTGTTTTTCGTGTGTTTGGCAAATGGTCATGATACAGTGCCATCACTCAGATCAGATAGGGGTGTGTTTGGTCGAAGAACAATTCCTTTTCTCAATAAGCAAAAAAAAAAAAAAAAAAGTGATTAATTTAGAGTTCATTTCACTGCTTAAATGTTTGATTTGAAGATACTTTTCAACTGTATTTTTTTAAAGTAGCCATTGTAACTATTTTAAAGTATTATGGTTCCTTTTGGAGCTGCGGTGGTATATCATGTGTATATACTGTACTATATTACAGAGCTTTAAAAATACTTGGGAGAATTATGTAAGTAAAGCAATTCTGTTCATTTGCAATGTTGAAATACATGCTAACTGTATGAAACGGGAAATGAAGAATATTATTGTGCAATAAACAGAGGGCTTTATTCCTCTTAGTTTGAGCAGAGCGATTGTCATAGGGCCCAGTGGAACCCTACCCCTTGTGGATGAACATGAAACTTGGAGAAAAAAAAATGAGCTGGGGTGCAGATTGAAAAGGAAGGGTTGAATATGTCCTCATTCCAGGTAATTGCCATAAGCAAAGAAGGGTTCCATTGTCCATGTGACAATCCTTATATGCACGTGTGGCTGCAGTTACACCAATAGGGATAATACCTGTAGGATTTAAATCCAAAACTTTTTTAAAAAATTCCCAAAGACAGAAAGCCAGTTAGATACAACAGAAAAGCTCTGTGTAATATATGTTGGATGCTTCCATTCAGAGGTAGAGAAGTGTGGATTGTGTTCCAAGCCTTCATAGGAATTTTTGCTAGAAAATTTCAGCTTCATCTTTGGAAGGTCTATTGGCAACTTGTGATTCTCCATACAGATATGTCACTGGAACAATTTGGCACTAAGGAACTTTTTTTGGTCCATAATAATATTGTATTATGCTATTATGCTATTTCTTTAATCACAAATGAAATGTTAATGATCATGCACCTGCCATGTCTTCACTGATAACAGAAGTAATTTATGTTCCAAACATTGATTTGGAAAAAGAAATAACATGTTTGTAATGGTAAAGAGTTTTCAAATGTTTTCCAAAATGTCACTGATGACTTGACTACCCATATTTAATAGAAAATGATAGATAATTTTGAGGGATGTGAAAGTGAACATATCTAACTTTTCCCTATCTTGAATGAACCAGTTTTGTGCCTGACTAAAAAAAGCAGAGTTCTTTATAATGTTAGCATGAAGAAAAGACTGGAAAACCTCTCACTCAGATTGTTATAGCAATGGCCTAGCACAGAACCCTTCCACAACCAGGTGTTCTCCAGATGTTGGATTACACTTTCCAACATTCCTTTTTTTTTTTGCACATTTTTATTAAGATTTTAAACTAAAAACTAAAAAAATAATCATCAAATACATTGGACGTACTGGGTCAGCCCCCTATAACATATCTTTTAAGCATTCTATAATCATATTCAAATCAATTTATAAAAATTTAAAGACATCTTTAAATCTAAGCCAAGTCCCGTTTCTCCAGCCACTCGTAAAAAAGGTCCCAAGTTTGATAGAAGTCAGTATCTTCTTTCTCCTTCAATAATAGAGTCAATCTGTCCATTTCTGCACAGTCCAGAATCTTTTTTAAAATCAGTTCCTCAGTGGGTATCAGTTCCTCAGTGGGTAGTCCTCACTCTTCCAGTATTGAGCAAGTGCAATCCTCGCTGCTGTGATTAAATGTAGTATCAAATACATTTCTTGTTTGCTAATATTTTCCGGTACAATACCTAACAAGAAAATTTCAGGTTTAAAAGCTAAGGGTTTTTGTAGCATTTCCTCAAGCCATTTATGTATTTTAATCCAATACTTTTTCACATATTCACAAGTCCACAACATTCACGTATTCACAAGTCTTTGATTGATGCTTGATATCGCATTCATAAATTTCCCCCCAAACTCCATTTGGTCCATCTGTTGCATCATGAATTGCAATTAACATTATCAAAGGCTTTCTGGGCATCTAAAAACAGTAGAGCCACACTTTCCAACATTCCTGACGATTGACCCTGCTGGTTGGAGAAGTTGCAGTCCAAAACCTCTGGAAAGCACTAGGTTAGGGAAGGTTGGTTTTGACAAAATCTCAGTCAGGCAGCTTGGATGGAGTTAGGCATATTTGAAGAAGCCTTGCCTAGTTATTCTAGACTTCAATTACCACAATGACTGGATTTGCACAAGACAGCAACCCATCATGCCTAACAAGCATGGTGGTTTGTTGTGCCATGCAAATCTGTATCTCTTCCTGTAACTAACACTAACAACTCATGGTTCATTCTAGGGGTTGTTGAACCACAATTGGTTGCTGTGTCATGTGAATTCACCTATCATGGGATGTAACAAAGAGAACAGGTTACCCTTCCAAACATGGGTTTCTGAAATACATTTTTGCTGCTCAGCATAAATGCACAGATGGATCTGAAAATATATGTGTATGGAGTGGGGTGTAACCATGCACATATCTGCTAGTGGTCCCCTGAAAAAAATCTAATCTTCCTTCTTTACAGAGTTCTTCCAGTTTCAGAACCCAAGTGGGGGAACAGTTTTCCTCCACGTTTGCTTGCATATTAGGGACAGTATCCAATGATGTTGCACTAGCATCAACCAATGCTCATGTGACATTATTAGTGCTTGCTAGGCAAAGTGGAAATGTCATTTGTCAGTAAATTTTGATGATAAATTGTCACTCTTTTCCTCTTCTCTGCAAGCACTTAGTTGCATTGCCCTTGTGTTGATGCATACCATAATGTCTTTAGCATTAATATTGTAACAGCAGTGGATGCTGCCCTAGAATGACAAGGAAAGCAAACTCCGTATTTCCCACATCATAATGGCTTGAGCACAGATGTGTAGAAATTTTTTTTGATTGCCTGTTATAATTTGAATGGCTATGAATCAGATTTATTTCAAGGCGGGAACAAAAAATAAATATGAAAAAGGTAGCTCAAATGAATCAGATCGTGTTTAATTGTTGTTAAGTCTAACAGAGATTTGACATTTGGATAAGAGACTGTACTAAACTGGATATGCAAAATGTAATAATTATTAAATCAGCACAAATGAGTTCTTCCCAGAAGGACAAGTTAGCTTTGATACCTGGTTTGTGTGTTTTGTCATCCCTGACTTTGGTGGGTCTTGTTTTGGAACTAATGAAAGTTATTTATATCTTGCATTGGTAGAAAACCCACACATCATGAATCCCAGCCTTAAAAAAGAAGTAAAACTGAAATCACTTGTTCTTGTGGGTAGAAGTGACTAAATATTTAGAAGTAAGCTACTCAAGTTCATTATGTTTCTCAAGTCTCTTTTCTATGCTATAAGGAAATTGCAGTGAGCCGAACTGAGGTGTAAACATTAGCACAAAACCATGTCCATGAATATACTGAAACTGTTAATTATGGGCAACTAGATGCGGCCCTCATTATGGTAATTTTGGATGAGGCCCTCATTACACTAATAATTATTTAGGCAGAGTAAATTTGCTTGTGGAATACGGTTTTTGAAGCAAGGCTCTGTTGTGTCTGAGGATCAGGTATGCCCCAGCACCAAAGGGAGAAAGGTATTACTGTATGGATTTAATACAGTGTTTTGCAGCCAGTTAAAATTACTAAAAGTCCAGGTGGTGATTTTTTTCAGGTGTTCAAAATCACAATGTTACATGCTATAACATTTTAAAATAATGCTTTTCAGTGTCTGTTTTGTTTCTGGCATTGCTGACTTGAGAAAAGGCCTTGCACTAAAATTTTGAGCGTCTCCTACCAGTCTTAGTGCATCTCCTACGGATGCTTAAATAGGAAAATGCAAAAAAGCCCTTTAGCTCTCAGCATTTTCCTTCAAAAATCTGAACTATTCAATAATCAGTGAAACTCTGGAGTTTTCCAGCTTTCTGCACTATTACAAATTCTCTTAATATTATGTAGCCCTGAAGTCTTTCAGAACAATGAAGACAGTTGGGGGTTGTGAAGACCGTCAGGGGTTGCCCATAACCCTCCAAACTCAGGATTATGGGCATCCAATGGTAGGTGGAAGGAAGGCAAAGACTAGAATTGTCTCAGTGCTTCTTCCATCCCTCAAGCTAAGTGTTTTTCATTGGCCTGGAAGTTGTAGCAGGAACAGAGAAGAGTTTTGTGACACCTTAAAGACTAAGAAATACATTATGGCATGAGCTTTTATGGACAATGATAAGTTTGTATAATAAGGTGCCATAAGAGTCTGTGGCTTGGATCTTAATTGTTCCTTTTGTGGGCAGAAGGGCTCCTTCAGTTAATGGAAAACTATTAATCTCCCAGTCAATCCTGTTGGTGGAAGGGGAAGATACTATTTTGTGCTCTCCTGCCCCTCTTGTCCTCTTGCAGTCCTCCCACACTTTGGAGGATCCTTCAACCTTCTGAGATTTAACCTTTTTATTCCCACAATTCTGTATTTGGGATTCATTCACACTCCCTCTCTCTGGTTTCTGGGTTAAGCTATTGAGAAGTTTGATCCTAAATGAGGAGGGGGTATTTTAAAAGTTGGTGTCTTATCTTGAAAATTACATTTTTTGTTTTGTTTCTGGGAATCCGGCCCTATGCTTATTTAACACGTCCCATCCAGAGGATTACCACAATTCTGATTAAAAACAAGAAATCCACTTTATTTGAATAATGTTGACAGTATGTCCGTGCTCACTCCCTTACACACATATTCTCTCTCTCTCTCTCTCTCACACACACACACACGTGCACGCACACTCTTCTATGAAGAAATAAGGCCTATGAAAGCAAGAACAACATGCAGCTGTTTGAGAGGAAGTGGTTGTAATTTTGAATTGTCTAAATGTGAATTTAGGCTGAAATCTACACTTACTACCTGGTGGAAAGGTCCATTGAATTGAGTGATCTTTCTGAGCTGGCATGTATAGGATTGCATGATGAGAGGTTGAACAAATTAAATAACTGATACTACTATCTAAAACAAGCTATATAATTGCAAAGAAAAAGTTTTGAAAGACTGAAATGCATTAGGTGGAGCAGGTGAATGTCCTTGAAGGCCAATATAACCGTTTGAATTATAGAACACTGTTCAGATATTTCCTGGCCAAATGGTCTTCATAACAAGCCTTTGACTTTTCTTACAATTAAACCCTTTCTTTCAAAGGGGGGATGTGACTGATAGGGAATGCTTTGCCTCAAGCTACACTGTGAGTTAAGGTACGATCCTATGCATGGTTAGAAAGAAAAAAAGGCCTAACTGGCAAATCCATGAGTTGTGAGCCTGTTTCTGTCTAAACGTGCATGGGA